GGCCTAGGGCCCCCCTATTTATAGCCATTGTGCCCACAAAACCGATGGCTCTGATTAAGGTAAATCTGATGGTTCGCAGTCAAGCTGACCGCACGTCTTCTGAAACCGAAATGTGACTGATTGTACATCTTCCATGATTAAGGTAATGTCGGTTGCACGTCTTCCAGAAATCGCCTGACATCCGCGTGTGTATTTAATGCGATCAATCAATCAAGTTTGAATTTTGGGTCAATTCCACCCGTCACACTCCATGAACTCCTCGCGCTAAAGTAGAATCCTTAGCTCGAGGAGTGGGGGGCAATTGATGGAGGGTGATTTGACCCGACCTCCTAAGAAGGCAACACGTGGACATGACTCAGCATAAGCAACAACTCAGCATGACAGGCTGGCTACGACTAAGTAATGAGCTCGTGAAGGTCCTCGCAGGACAGCTCGCTAGAGCGCGAGCTCAAGGACCCCAGTATGTGGAAAGGGAATACTCCAAGCCAAGTCTATCCCATCTTGCAATCTGAGAGAATCAGCTCGCTCCAACACTTAGGCAAGAAGACTGCCCCAAAGGCAACCTCAGGCGGAATCACCTCGAGACACATCCAGGAGCTCGCTGCAAGGCAGCTCGCTATGGGATAGCTTGCTACAAAGCAGCTCGCTGTTAAGCGACACGGCGTTCTCAGTAAGCTTTTTATCTGACGAGACCGTACCCGTCAAACTGCATCTCATCTCTTGACTGACGGCACAGTCCCTGCCAGCCCAGCAGACTACACCCACGTCTCTCGACAGGTGGTGGCGTGCCTATCCTTTCCGAGTCGTGTCACTCATCCGATTGGGTAGTACTCTGTGGTTACCTGCGCAGTCCTGGCAAATAATAGCTGCGACAGAGGTCCAGTGGCAGTTATGCCCAATTTGATAAGAACACCCGTGTTTAAAAGCCCCATGGTCGAAGGGGCAAAGAGACCTGGTATTGATCTTGAGTTAATCTTGAATTTTACTGATCTAGTGCTATCTGCACTCTTAGCTCTCCTTGCATCCCTTACAGCTCTCTCGAGTATTTTAACTTAAGCATCGGAGTATTCGCACCGGGTGAGTTCCCCGAGAATCCTTCACCTTTCTCTTCTCAGGTACCGTCCGTCGCCAGTTAGGAGCCAAGCGTCCGCCAGATAGAAATGCCCAGATCGCGCTGCATCAGATATTAATTATGTGCAATAATGAGTCAATTATTGATCAAAAAAAATAATGAGTCAATCATTAGAAAGCATTTATTTTTTATTTTAACTATTGGATGAGAGATCAGTACACTAGGATGGTGTCACATTGAACATAAACATTTTTTATAGAAATGTCAATATACCAAACACAATGTTTAATGTTTAATCAATATAAGTACTAACCAACCAAGTTTCGTATTAAAACACTAAAAATAGGCGTTTTGAGATGAAATGTCATTGCCTCTCTAAACGTTTAAGCCTGCAACCTAAAGCAATGAAACTTCTTGTTAACAAACTAACTTTCTATAAAAATTACAAGATTCTATTGTCTGGGTTGTAATGCTATAGCTGTGGTCCCTCTACAAACTATATTGATTTCAGAACGCGAACAATATTCACTTTCCGGAAAATCCAGTTCCAGTGAGTGAAACGCAGCTTTGGGTTTGACGAAATAAGCTTCGGACGGGTTGAATTCTCAAGAGGCTGGATACACAGAAGGCAGTAGTAGCTCTTAATTCTGCTGATTGTATGCAAGTGAACTACTTGAGTATGCATTAACTCTGCTTGCAATTTTGTGATGACGTGAATGTATCCCCACCATGAACAAGAACCATTCCCAGTCTTCACGCGATCTATTGGATAGTGAAAGTCCGATCTTAAACTGCAACCGCAATTTTTTATTTTTTTTTCGTAATCGTTCTTAACTGAAGGAAGTAACCATTGCCGTTCAATTTAAAGTTGGGTTTGAATCGTCAAATTTGATGGAAGGGTTCTTCCAGACCTCCACCATTGGTGGGGAAGAAAAGACAGAGACAACAGGAACAACCAAGGCCTCTCAATGAATGGAACAACGTGAAGAATTGCATACGTAAAATCACCTTCGCCACCTCTGAGGCCCTCCCCACCCAACCCCTCGAAACAAAAACAAAAAATCAATGTCGTATCACTTCTGTGTCCCGTCGCGCTTCATTGAGCGGCTTGCATAGCTTCAGCGTAAGACTGCGTGTAGCATGTAGGCGCCCACCACTGAGTATTGTTTTGTTTTGGCCTCGTTATATTTATTTGGATAAGTTTTTTAAATTGCCCTTATGTTTTAGCTAATTGATTAAGTGTACCTTTATTGTTTGAAAATTGATTAAGCTATTTCTAATGTTTTTGATAATTGATTAATCCTTCTTAATTATTAAGTGCGTCAATAAAGATATGAAAAAGACTATTTTACTCTCCTCTATAGATTATTTGGATCTCTCCCTCTCCCTCTCCCTCCCATTTTCTTTGGAAAAATGGCAAATGATGACCGGATCTAGGTTCTTTGTGGATTCTTTACTCGGATCTCTCCCTCTCCCTCATTCTTTTCGTCGGAACTGCCGAAATGGCGGATGATGAACGGATTTAAGATCTGAGTATATCTCAAATCTCATATTTGGGTAGGGGTGGCAACGAGTCAAGCTTTTAACGAGCTACTCGAGCTCGAGCTCGAGCCCAATTCAATGGCTTGATTATTAAATGAGCCGAGCTTGAGCCTACTAGAGCTCCGTTCGTGAGGCTCGCGAGCCGGCTCGAATATATATATATATATATATATATATATATATATATATATATATATATATATATATATATATATATATATATATATATATAATTATAGAAAATAATATATATATATATAATAAAAATGTTATATTTATTAATTATTATAATTTTTAATTTTTTAAATATAAAATAGAAAAATTATATATAATTTTTTTTATAAAATATTTTTCTCAAAATCGAGCTCGATCTTATGAACTATTGACTCGAGCTTTGTAGAATAGTCTTGAGCCGAGCTCGAGCGAGCTGGTACTATTCGGCTCGGCCCAAATCCACCCCTAGATCTGGGTTCCTTACTCGGATCTCTTCCTCTCTCTCTCTCATTTTCTTTGTCGGAACTGTCAGAACTAAAGATGATGACTAGATCTCATATCTAGGTTTCTTACTCGGATCTCTCCCTCTAATGATAATCGAAGTAGAGCAAAAAAATTGAATGAAAATGGGTTTGTAATACTCGATTTGAGTCTTGTTCGAACTCTTTGCTCTAGCTTGCTTCAATTGATCATTTAGGATTTCTTGTTTCAGACTACAAGTTTGAGGTTTAACTTTCCCAATGAACAAGTTCAAATGGCTCAGATATCCAAATTAATGTTGATTTAAAAAATAAATCAACAAACAACTTCAAAAGCGTCTTCAGATCTAAGCTCTAATGATGTTGCGGATATGGTTGAAGTTTCCCCGAGGAGAGGCTTTGAACGCTCAAGAGTAGTTGACCTTTATTTTGAGTCGAAGAAAAGGATCAGAAGAAGATGAAGTTACCACAGTTCCTCGAGAAGTGGATTCGATTAAAAGAAAAAACGTGAATAGGGATCTCTCTCCATCAATGGATTTGGTGTAAATGAGATTAAACCCTTGAACTGGATGATCGAAGGAATCGTCTGGCATAGATCTAGCTTTGCTAGATTATTGGAGGATTTCTTTATTCCTGTAGGTTGAAGATTGGAATGGATGACGAGCGGATTGAAATGGGTGGTTCATTACTGGTATTAGAGCCAGGTTTAGCATTGATTATACTTGAGAAAGAGGAGAGAGACAAAGAACTCTGCTTCTGTAGATCTCCCCAATGGCATTGCTTATGCATCAATGGCTTTCGTTGTTGGATCGAAGAGAGCTTGGAGTCGGGCCATGATTTATAAGGTTTGAAACTAATGACGATCTGATGTTGACAGAGACACTTAGAGGAAGATAGAGGGAACATAGAGAAAGGTCAAAGGAGGAAGGGGACGAGGGTAGCATTGGGTAAAGGAGAGAGAAAGAGGGGGAGATTGAAGGTGGAGAGTAAAATTGGGTTTTTAAAAAAATTATAGCCTATGAGTTTTGACAGAATATTAACAAAACCTAACGATGGGTAGAATTAGTTAATTGTTATTTAACAAAACCTAACGATAAGGGTAAAATTAGTCAATTGTTAGAACCAATAGGAATAGTATTAGTCAATTTACACTTAATGAATTATGATAAATAATTCATATTTGTGAGGTCGCTGATGCAAGGAATTGTGTTTGGACTCTCAACTGTTTGAATAAAGGGAAAATATATGATACGGAAAAGATATGATATAGGAAGTTTTGACCAATCAAAACTCACCCATAAATTATGATAAATAACACATAATTGACTATTACATTTATGATTCCATTTAATTGATCAAAAGTTTTTCACATATCATATCTTTTCCATATCATAATCGAACCGATAAAGAGAAAATCATTCAATGCAAACATGACAAACGGACCACCCCAACCTCAATTTTCTATTCACTCGATCGTCGTAGATTGGCATCAACTGATTTAAACGATACTGACCGCATGATCACCCCCCTCCCCTTGAGAAGCATGTCGACGCTCATACAAAACTGAAAAAGAAGAGAGATGTATTAATTAATTAACTGCAGGAAATAATTTGGTTCCGAAATATCTGTAGATCAACGATGTCGTTTTCTATTTGACAGGTTCATAAAAGAAAAAAAAAAAAAAATCTGGTGCTGCCGTGTCAAATTGAACGGTGCAGGGTCTCATGTCACGGGCCCACGACAATTCGGCATATTCTCATGTATACTCAGTCCCGTGGGTCCCATCCTTGTGATTCTTTTGGGCCTTGATCAAATCTTGAGGTCCTTGGGAAACGAGAGATTTCTAAACCATTTTCTTGCTTCCACGTGGATAATACGGTCACGAGACAACTGCTACAAATGGTTGCTTCTCAGTGGCTTTGAATGACAACCGTAGTTCACCAGTGAGTGAGAACTGAGAAGATTTCTGCCCGATCTCCGACGGATCCCCGATTCATCGGCGTCGTTCGGTCAGTGGTAAGTTGGTTCTTCCACCACCCTTCCTCATCGGGAGGATCGTTGGCTGATCTTTTCTTTTTTTGCCACATATATATAAACTGTAATATTTTCGTGTTCTCTTCGAGTCTGAAGTTCATTAACCAGCTTTTTGCCATCTCTTCTTCATCCCGTCTCATCCTTATTTCTATTAAATTTATGACTTTCGAGCTCTGATCTTGCTCTTTCTTGGTTTTCCACGTCTCGTTTGAACTTGCGGAATTTCTCTATTTGAGATTATTTGGAAAATTCCTCTCTGCTTCTGGTCAGGATGGTTCCTACTTACTTGATTTTATTTGACGTTATCAGGGAGAAGAAATAGAGTACGGAAAAATAGAAACTTTTTTTTTTCGAAAAACGTTACCACAAATTACTTTTTCTTTGGTAGTCCCTATACTCCTATTACTAAAAGTTACTTTCAAGTTTCAACTTCTCGATTCTCCTTTTCCTAATAACGTATTAAAATAGAGAAAGGTTTAGCGGGCTGTGGAACCAATGATGAGGTTCTACGCCAGTAATAAATTTCAAATCTTTTGTAATCAATGGTCGTCTTGAGGCTATTCTGATGATCACTGATTACAAATTTGATGTATGGATGGAACCCTCGTTTTCTTCTAGAAAAATCATGCATATCTGATTCTCCGTTGCACTTCACGACTTAAAAAAGGTTTTTTTTTTTTTTTTTCTTTTTGGGCGAGTAAATTTTCAGTCTAGCCTTCCCTTTCTAGCTAATAAAGTTACACTTTTCTTAAGATCTGGAAATTCTGTAGCAAGACTGACAGGAATTTCGCTTTTGATCTCTATATGTATCTTATATACATCTCATTTTCTGGTAGCTACTAAATTTTTATCAACTTGAATGCTTTATCAGTGGGAGATCCTCTGTGATAAAATTAGCAGTTATGACCAAAGTAAAATTAATGCAGTGGTGCTTTTTTTGAGAAATGCAGTAGCCCCTCAGTCAACATGGATGTGTTTGGGAGATTACATATTTGGTTCTGTAATCCTTCGTCCAAATATGAAATAAATGATGTGAAAACTAAATTAAATAGATGTCTTCTTTATGGTTCTCTAGTTGTTTTTATATTAATTCCTTTTTTATCATCCCTATCCTTGTAGTTGAACTGTTTTAGTGCAAACTGAATGCAACCGATAATAATTCCTGTGATGCTGCCTTCTGATTCAGAACAAGAATATTACCAATGGCAACAGTGACTGCTTCAAAATTTGTTTCAACAAGCTCACTTGTCAGCTATGGAGGAATGTCCGGATCGCAGCCCAAAACAGCACTGGCACAAATTGGGCTGAGAAACCAAACCATGACTCACCATGGGCTGAGATCTGTGAACAATGTTGATAAATTAAACTTGAGGGCCAATGCAAAGACAACCACAGGGCAAGCAAAGGGGAAAGAATGCAAGACTAGAAATGCCAAGGAGCGCAGTGTCATCAGATGCGGAAGTGGAATGAACTTAGTCTTTGTGGGAGCAGAGGTTGGCCCATGGAGCAAAACCGGTGGACTTGGTGATGTTCTTGGAGGACTGCCACCAGCAATGGCGGTAAGTATAGTTTATTCTTCTTGTCTCTTCCATGGTTTGCAAATATAATTGCCTACATGATTTTCTTTTTTACTTTATAGAATTACTTAAGCACGTATTTAGCTCGCTGAAATAGCAATTTACTAACTCTGTATGATCCTTTTCCAGGCCAACGGCCACCGTGTTATGACAGTAGCTCCACGTTATGACCAGTACAAAGATGCATGGGATACAAGTGTTCTAGTTGAGGTATATTCTAGCAATCATGTTAATTTTCTGAATAAAGCTTTCAATTTTCTTTTCCAGGTGTTCATTCACCTGAAGGGATTCATGCATTGGGATATGTTTGCTAAAGTATACCTTTTAATATGCAGATAAAAGTTGGAGATAGAATTGAAACTGTTCGCTTCTTCCACTGCTACAAACGTGGAGTTGATCGTGTTTTTGTTGATCACCCCATGTTCCTTGAGAAGGTTATTCATTGACCCAGGGCCATATAAATTGAGCTTCTTTATTGTAACTTCACATGTTAACTGTTCAATAGTATGAGAACTAATGATTATTCTATGCCTAATTTGTAAACCTTAAGGTATGGGGAAAAACTGGATCGAAAATATATGGTCCCATGGCTGGAGAGGATTACAGTGACAACCAACTTCGCTTCAGTTTATTATGTCAAGTAAGCAAGTTTTGCTCATTCCAGTTCCATCTTCCATGTGACATTTTTACTTGATCCACCACGCCAGTTGGGCCTTTCTTTTTCTTTCTTTCTTTGCTAATTAGGTTATAAAATTTTAGTTCTACTCTCCATAATTGCAATTGAATGAGGAACGATGTTGACCTGTTTTGAAGCAAATAGACAATACACAGAATCCACTCTTGTTCCAAAGTGATTTTGGCTGTAACTTCTTGAAAATGCTTCAAGACTAACGAATTCTTTGAAACTTATTACTTCCTGAACTGTCAATGTTGTTATTTTGTTGCAATATAAGCAGGCAAGTCAATAGCACATTTGTTGCTTATGCATTGCTCAGCTGACACGGCTAGCTCATCAAGCAACATTAAATCCGTATCTCAAGTTGGTAATACAAGGGACAAGAGTTGACCTTGCTCTAATAGCCACAGGCTCTACATGCTACCTTCATTTCCATAGGAGCAGCTGTGTAGTCCATCACCCAATATGGTCCTGATTATCCACACCCTTTGGCTTTTTATGCACAAAGTGGCCACTCTCAGTGTTGAACCCATGTTCTCATGCTTGGCAGCCCAAGATACCACCATTGCACTAAGCATTGACCCTTCAGCAATTGTTTAGTCATAGAATGTATTTATTTTTCTTTAGTGGTAATCTTTCCACATTTAAATAAACCATACAAATTCATGTTCATGCCATTTAGTGTCTCCTATAGTACATGGCTTTTATATTAGATTCATTTTGTCTTCCTATTGGTTGCACTTGCAATTTAGTGGCACTGCTTTTTATGTTAGGCATATATCTTGCATGCAATTTTTTGGCTTTCAGGCAGCTCTAGAAGCACCAAGAGTCCTGAATCTCAACAGCAGCAAACATTTCTCTGGACCATATGGTAGGGACTCCCTCCTCTCATTCCTGAAATATATTTCCACTTTCTATCAACTTCATTAAAGCACTAAAACTCATTCTCCTTGTACACAGGTGAAGATGTCGTCTTCATCTGTAATGATTGGCACACTGCTCTTCTCCCATGCTACCTGAAAACAATGTACAAATCTAGGGGGATTTATAGAAATGCCAAGGTAATGTTTCCACATAATCCACTTTGAATCATTCTTTACTGGCATCTGCTTTGAAAAACTTCATTAGAAGTAAAAGAAAGTTGCAAGTTTCTCAAAAGGTGATTTGAGTTTTGATAACATTGCCAGGTTGCTTTCTGCATACACAACATTGCCTACCAAGGAAGATTTTCCTTTTCAGACTTCTCACTTCTCAACCTCCCTGATGAATTCAAAAGTTCTTTTGATTTTATTGATGGGTAGGATGTCTTTTTTCTTCAAGAAATTTCTTCTCTTGTGATTCAAATTGATTTTATTAGACCTTTATTTGTTATATCTTATTCATTTCGTTGATTTTTGTAGTTATGATAAGCCTGTGAAAGGGAGAAAAATCAATTGGATGAAAGCCGGCATATTAGAATCAGACAGGGTGTTAACTGTCAGTCCATACTATGCAGAAGAACTTGTTTCAGGCATAGAAAAAGGTGTGGAACTAGATAACATAATTCGGAAGACTGGCATTACTGGTATTGTGAATGGCACAGATGTTCAGGAGTGGAACCCAACCACAGACAAATATATCAGTGTTAAATATGATGCTACAACTGTAAGGAACTTTCAACCCCCCCCCCCTCTCCCATTTATTTGACAGTTTCTTGTTACAAGGACTGATATGCTGAAATTGGCATTTCCAGGTTATGGATGCAAAGCCTCTTCTAAAGGAAGCACTTCAATCTGAAGTTGGGTTGCCTGTGGACCGAAATATCCCTGTAATAGGCTTTATTGGTAGACTCGAAGAGCAGAAAGGTTCAGATATTCTTGCAGCATCAATTCCCAAATTCATTGGAGAGAATGTTCAGATAATTGTCCTCGTAAGCATCATATATGGAAGTTTTTATTCTCCCTTTTTTTTTCTTTTCTTTTCTTTATTTCTTCTATCATAAATTTCTTGGGTTTGACTCTGAGCTACTTCCTTCTTTGTTTCAGGGGACCGGTAAAAAGGCCTTTGAGAAGCAACTTGAGCAACTAGAGATCAAATATCCTGACAAAGCCAGAGGAGTTGCAAAATTCAATGTTCCTCTTGCCCATATGATCATAGCTGGAGCTGACTTTCTGCTGATCCCAAGTAGATTTGAACCATGTGGTCTTATTCAGTTACAAACTATGCCATATGGAACGGTACACACACCTTACTCCATGTTTTGGATATTACATATTAACATTATGTTGCACTTTGTCTTCGATGTATTCATCATCTTACCTATCATTCTGTGGCACAGAGTTAACTGACAGTCGTAAAGCTGTGATTTTGGTTTCAGATTCCTTTGGTTAGCTCAACTGGTGGACTGGTTGACACAGTCAAAGAAGGATATACCGGATTTCATATGGGAGCCTTCAACGTTGATGTATGCAATGCATTTCCATTTATCACTAAATTGCAATTGATTTTCCTCTTTTTCTAAGTCATTACCCAATCTTGGTCGGCTATCCAGGGTCTTGGGTCAGGTTTACTGGATAATGACCTAACAATTGGCATTTTCGCACATAGTGATTGCACTTGCACAATTGATATTTCCTCTTTTTCTCGGTCATGAAATCAAAATTCAAACTGATGGTGTTTGTTTATTTCAGTGTGATGCTGTGGATCCTGCAGATGTGAATGCAGTGGCAACTACTGTCAAGAAAGCTCTTAAAACCTATGGCACCTCTGCTATGATCCAGATGATTAAAAATTGCATGGCTCAAAATTTCTCCTGGAAGGTGAGTGTGATCGAATATCCATTAAACCACTGGATTTGCCTTGTGGGATGAACAGGGAGAGATATTTGGACATGTTTGGTTTGTATGAATCAAAAAACTACAAGATGTCCATGAATACAACAGATGTATGGTTTTCCTTTCCGAGTTGTGCAAGACTTTAAGTATATATATGTATCCGTGCAACAGGGGCCAGCGAAGAAGTGGGAGAGCATCCTGTTGAGCCTGGAGGTTGCTGGGAGCGAACCTGGAATTGATGGTGAGGAAATTGCTCCTCTTGCAAAGGAGAATGTTGCCACTCCTTGAGAGGCAGGTCCGTATCTTGCACCGGCCCATAAATGAATGATGCGGTATTTTAAGCTAACCTATGAACTCTACAACTAACCAATGTTGCCTGCTCTGCTCTGTTTGATCCATTGTATCTGGTTTGCAGTCAGCCTAGAAGTCTACAGGCTTTATTGATCTTTTCATTTTTTATGTACTTGGCTATTAGCTAAGTGGTTCTGGAGGTTCTGAGGGTTGATCATAATTCCAACGTTAATATCCTCCTTGTAACTTAATATGGTAAATCCATATAATGGAAGGACTGATATGGTTCTATCTGTGCTAAGCATCATGTACTAGTTCCTACTTCCTAGTATATGAATAAATATAGATGGCTTCTTTCAAACGCAGTTGTCTCTACTCATTCTCATCACATTTTTCTTAAACTGGAACAGTTAAGAATGCCCATTTTGCTTTAAGGTCTATCCAGATTGACAAGCAGTGAAGCAAAAGCCTGAACTATTCCGACTGAAGCGTATTGGGTCCAAAGCCGCTCAACCCATTAGCTGTGGTTAGGCATATGGGATCAAACCATTACATTTCAATCAACACGTCGAGGTAGAATACTAGCTAGGCTTACTAGAGAAACTTCTCCATATGGTTTTGCGAGAATCATAAAAGATGCGATAAAAGTTTGAAGTTTGAATTTGAACCTCTTAAATTCCAAGTTTTCAAATTTTTGCCTTCGATCCCATGTTACATTGAAACAAACGCGGCCTAAAATGATTCACAAGGGGCCTCTGTGAAATGAACTCGGATTTCCTGCACTCGATTTCTTGTGTGCGGAGGGAGTCCAGCTTCAGTCAGGGCAAAACCCGTTTCAACAGCCTTGCGTTGGGAATATCTCTGTAGTTATGTGATTTATTTCATGGAAGATATTTCCAATACAAGGTTGCAAGGGGCTGCTCGAAGGGTGCAAGCACCGACTTGCCCCGATAGAAGCCGAACTCTTAATCCATTTTTCTTCATTTTGCAGAGATCAAAGGAAGAAGAATTTGGGACTCCAAGCAGAAGGATACACACTCCTCTTCACATATCTCCAACTCTCCATAAACATCAGATGAAGAAATTAGAAAATCTTATCGGTGGGCATAAATCTATCACCCCAATAAAACCCTAGCCTGGGTATAGGGGTGGATTTGAGCTGAGTCGAGCTAAATAGTATGAGGTTCAAGCTCGGCTCGAGACTATTCTACAAGGCTCAAGCTCAAGTTCGAGCTCGAGCTTGGTTCGAGCCAAAACCTTGAGCTCGAGCTTGACTTTGAGAAAAATATCTTTAAAAATAAAAAACTATATATAAAAATATTATATTATAATATATATATATATATATTCGAGCCGACTCGTGAGTCTTATGAGTCGATCTCTAGTAGGCGAGTTTGGCTCATTTCATAATCAAGCCAGTGAATTGGACTCAAGCTTGGCTCGAAGCTCAGTAGAAACCAAATCGAGTCAAGCTTTTTATTAACTGAGCTCAAACAACTCGTGAAAAGCTCAGCTTGCCACCCCTACCTGGGTAGACACCGTTAACGAACGTTTGCAAAACAAATAGGTGGAGAAGCCATTTACAAAAAATCATTTCACGATCTAAAGACCCATGTGCTTGTGTGAACTAGTTTCGATAATAACTCCATTTTGAAGGTCAATTATATAAAATTTCAAGGTCAAAACAGCAAGATTGTTGTTACTTCAATTTTCATTTGTGGAATAAGAAATGCTAAACCTTGACATAAAATTTCTACCAAAAAAAAGAAAACCTTTACATAAATATTTTCTCCATGCAATTGTTCATTAATGGCGTCCACCTGGTTTTCTTCGTAATGGTTTTCTCTGTTTTTCCCCTATTTTCCATCTATCGAAATGTCAAACTTGGTGCTCATACTTCATATCATCTCTTTTTTATTTTTTACTTTTTCTTTCATTTTTTAAGTTTGGAAAAAAAAGACATATTAAAAATTTAACATGGAAAACCGGCCGTTCAAATGTCTTGCACGTATGATGTGCGATGTCATGCGAACTTTGACGTGCTCTAATTTGATTGGAAGTGCACCTCAGCATATACAAACATCGAGTGTAGGAAATCCCGATTCCTGTAAAATTTGAAAAAACTATGATTCACATGCATTAGAATATTTCAAATAAATGCTAAAAAATACATCAATAACACTAATTTAGGTCTTAAATGACTTTAAGTATATAAGGATGTGTTTGGTTGCAATGCAATTTTATTTGTGGTAGTGCAAATGCATGGGAGTGCAAATGAAAAAAAAAATGCAAATTCTTAGTTAATTTTATTTTGGGTTTTACTTTATTCTTCTTTATGTCTTAAAATTCTCATTTATATTGCAATCAAACAAAATAAGTTAAAATTTGAAACAAAAAATAGGTCAGAATTTACACTCAAATCATTTGCACTGCCATAGTTTTGCATCAGTGCAAATTTATTTGCATTGCAACCAAACACAGCCTAAATAGTAAAAATACATTATTTCAGTTTATATGAAATATGAACGATCAAGACATGCCCAGTGCATGATACCGGTAGCATATACCTTAATTCTTAGAAACCAATACAACTACTGTTAATCACCATCATCATCTAAGCCTTATCCTAACTATATGGAGGCAGATACATGAATCCTGTTTTGTCATTTTGTTTTATTTAATCACTTAATGCCATATGCTTGTTAACATATGAGCACTAAATCATTTCTTACCACTTCAACCCATGTCCCTTTTGGTTTGCCCCTAAACCCTCCAATTTATACCTAATCACTTTGTCTTATGGATCCTAGTAGTCTTCTACGTATGTGCATAAGCCTTCTAAGTCTACTTTCTCTCATTTTATCACATATTGGAATTACTCCTGGATAGGGGTGTCCACGGTTCAGTTAATCAAACCATGGACAATTTTTGCAAATCAAACCGGTCCTACCGGTTTTTCAATTTCTCTAAACTAAAATCGAACTGGTACCACCAGTTAATCAGTTTGTCGGTTTTGGTTTTTATATTTATAATATATATTATATAAATATATGTATAATATTATATTATAGATAATAAATGATATATAATATATGATATATTTATAAATATAATATATGTACATATTTCATATATATTTATATATAATATATAGAAAATATGTGACATATATTTAAAATACATATAAAATATACATATAAATATATATATATATATATATATATATTGGTTGATTCAATTAACTATCAGTTTTTTTCTAAGGTAACCAAAAACCGAACCAGTCCTTCGGTTTTTCAAAAATGCCAAACTGAAACCGAACCAATTGGTTTGGTTAACCACATTTTTTGGTTCGATTTTCTTGGTTCAATTCGATTTTTTGGTTTTTCATGGACCCCCTACTCTTGGATTCCTCTTAGGGATGCAACTTGGGCCCAAGTTCTTTTTTTTTGGACGAAAATGGGCCCAAGTTTACATTTTACATTACTTTGCTCTTGGGCTTTAGGATGGACCTATTCAAAATTTGACAAAAGTCCAACTTGAGCCCGTTGATGCACATCACCTCCATACCTTCTATAATGAGTTAATGAGTCATCCATTTGGGCATGAGTTCTATTCACCAAAAATATATTCACTGGGCTATTCTACGTGACACTTGCACCATGGGCCTTCCAAATGTGATAAAGAATGATACTACATTTTGTAAAGAGGGACATTATGCACTCACTTGTAATGTCTTATGCATTGGCCCATTCATTCAGAAGATTATTAACAATTCGATCCAAGCAGTTGGGATGCAGTTTTGCTTAAAACTGTGTTCCTAAATCAGCTTCACCTATACACTGTGTCATCTTCAGTGGAGGCTTGTTTTATGACTGATTTGCGCATCAACTTCCACCTTATGATCTGCATTTATGGTATCCGTATCAAGTATAAATCTCCCTCTTTGTTTGGTTTCAAATCTGATCCAATTCAGTGCAATACCGATCCTAAAAAATGCAGCTTTTTCAAAATATAGAGAACTTGATTCTCATAATGATTGGAAAATTTTTGAAATTTCACCCAACCATCTAGCATGGTTCAGCCATCCATATGGATGATCCTAACCCTTCCAACAAACATTGTATGTTGACCAACTTATCCTCATATGTTTAATGTAAAGCGAATGAGGCCTTAGTAGATTTTCAATAGAAACCAATTTTTAGGTAGACATACAGTGGATCCATAATGGTATCTCCCTTTTCTCTTTTTTTTTCTTTTTTTTTGTATTTTGGTAATATGCTCCAATCCATGAGAAAAACAATTTACCATGGGACCCACAACTATTGATACACAAACATTGCATGTTGACCAACTTACCCCCATCTATTTAATGAAAAGCGAATAAGGCCTTAATATATTTTCAATAGAAACCAATTTTTAGGTAGACATACAATAGATCCATAATGGTATCTCCCATTTCTCTTTTTTTTTTCATTTTTTTGGTATTTTGGTGATACGCTCCATTGTTTGAATAGTGCAACACCACACTAATAATCCCATCCCCAAAGTTGGTGGTTATGGGAATCGAATTTGCATCTCTGCTAGAACAAACTAGCTAAGCTTATCAAGTGAGCCACCCCTTAGTTGGCTCTCCCTTCTCTCTATGTTACTATAGCTTTTACCCCTTTAATGGTAATTATAGCATTGTGGTGAGTTTGCTTTCTATAATTCCTAGGGACCAGTAGAATGTTACTCCTCCCCTTTAATTGAGTATTAGAACTTGCTTGGGAAGGCTTTAGCTTTGATTAAGTTATGTTGATTTAATTGCACGGAAAAGGCTAGTATAGGGGTTTAAATGGGATTTTTTTAAGAATTTAGTGAAAAAATGAATAAAATCACTTTGGATATACATAGTAATGCCATTGTAAGTCAAAAGAATGGGGAAGAACAAATGAAAAAAATGAAAAAAAAAAACACCTTAACTTTTTTTGTATAAAGGGGCACTTTTGTCATTATAAAAATCTTAAATGGGCAAAAACGGGATAAAAAGTTGAAAATGCACTTTTGAAAAAAGTGAAAAAGTGGTCTTGCATTGGCTTTTTTATAATGGGTCTTTTTAATCCCAAAAAGCCCGTTTGTAGCACCAAACAATTTGTTAGGATGCATTTGGCTTTTAAAACACAATAAACACCAGAAGCACTTATTTTAAGGTTGTGTTTGGTAACATTGCCACTTATACTTGCAATATTTTGTGTTAGGAGTACAAATCTTTAAGAAATTGTCTTGTCACATCACATCAAATAACCATTCACTAAAAAATAGGGGTAATTTGAGTTCAACCCCCATCATAATTCCTAATATGAATTCCCAATTCACCAGGGG